CATGGGAAAGCACAACAGTGGGATGAGGGAATGGGACATGCTCCAGGGATCCAGCAGCACAGGGAACAGGGTGCTGCTGGGAGCAATGGACACCCAGGGATGTGATGGACACAGGGATTCTTCCGCCTCCCAGGTGAGTCACAGACTCAGGGAATATCCACAGGGATCATCAGTCCAATGCCCAGGATGCCCCAACAATCCCACCCTGTCCCTGTCCAAACCCTCCTGGAGCTCTGGCAGCCTTGGGGCTGTGCCCACTGCCCTGGGGAGCCTGGGCAGTGCCAACCACCCTCTGGGGGAAGAACCTTTGCCTGAGATCCAACCTGACCCTGCCCTGACACAGCTCCAGCCATTCCCTGGGTGCTGTCCCTGCTCACCCCGAGCAGAATCGGAGCTGCCCATCCCAGGAAGCTGCAGATCCCAATGAGCTCTGCCCTCAGGCTCCTCTTCTCCAGGAAGAGAGATCCCTGTCCCTCCCCAGGGGTGATAGATCCATGGAAAAACTCTTACTGTGGATCCTGAAGTCCTCCTCGAAGCACTTTCGGTTGAGCAGGAATTCTGGCCCCTCTGTGTAGCTGTAAAGCTCTGCCAAGAGAGGGGAAGCTCCAAAAACCTGCAGAGCTGCAACTTGGGAACTGCACTTTTCGCCCAAAAACTCAAAATTCCCCAAAAAACCCCACCCAGCATAAGGCTGACAACATTCATTAAATGGATCCCTTCCAACATCCATCAGGTTTTTAAGGATAACAATGGAGCTGAGAGAGCTCCTTTAATTGTCCCAGCAGAGGAAGTCACTGGTTAATTGATGCCTCCCAAGAATTCCTCACCTGACAGCTCTGCTGCCCATTTATCCGTGTCTGCATATTCAAACTCCAGGTCTGGAGACTCCGAATAGCCCTGAAGAAAAACAGAAAAATCAGTTCAATTCCAGCACATCCCAGGAAAACCCCAAATCCCTGCAAACAGCCACAATTCACCTCGTCCTCCTGCAAAGCCAGGGCTGTTTTTCCCAGTTTAGGGACCGGGAATGTCCCTGCGGCAGCACGAACGTTACCGAGGCAACTCCAACCCACCTCCTGCGGCTCCATCCAGGATGTGCCGCAGGGACTGCCCGGCTGGAGCCACTGCAGCACCCCCAGAACACCCTCAAACACCCCCAAAACACTGGGGGAGCCCCCACAGCACGGAGCCCCCACAGCACAGCAAACACGGCAGGAGATGGGGAGGAAATTCTGTAGGATTAGGGGGCTCTCAGAGCTCCCACATTTCACATAGAATTGGAAAAATTTGGGCTATCCCCGCCCCCCCGCCCCCCGTGCCATCGCGGGGAGGAGGTGTCAGCAGGATTACTGAGGATGGAACTGTTCCAAACATTTCGGGGAGGCGGGAAAACCACCCGGGAGAAGCTTTAGAGCACAAAATATCGACTCCCTTTAGGGAAGGACCCACGGAATTTCAGGGAATCCACCCCTGAGTGGGGCAGAAGTCTCCTGAATTTTGGGACACCCAGACCCACAGCAAAACCCTCCCAAATCTCGGGGCACCCACTCCTGAAGGAGGGGCAGATCCACAGCAAAACCTCCTCAATTTTGGGGCATCCACCCCTGAGGGGGAAACAGATCCACAGCAGGATTTTGGGGCACCCACTCTGAAAGAGGGGCAGACCCAGAGCAGATCCCTCCCAAATCTGGGGGGTACCCAGACCCATCCCAGCCCTCTCCCAAATCCTGGGACCCTGAGAGAGGGGCTGGCTCTGCACCGGGAGCTCCCCCCAGTCCATTCCAGGGCTGCCATCCCCCACCCATGGGAGCAGGTGGCTCTGGGGCCATCGCAGGAATGAAACACTCGCGAAAAGCCCCCTCGGCTCCACACCCTCCCTGCCCCCCGGCTCAGGGGGGACACCCCGGGACCCCGCCGTGCCCTTGGGGGATCGGGGCCCTCTTCCCGGATCCACCCCTGCTCCGAGCATGGAAACGGGACCCCACACCCCTCCGGGACGGGAACACCGGGAGAGCCCCGGGACGGGCCGGGAGAGCCCCGACTGGGGTCCTGGGGCCGAGCCACCCCCGGGCTCCCCCCCGGTCACACCGGCCCGGGGCTGGGGGAGGGAGGGACGGACGGAATGGAAGGGAACCGGCACCGGGCGAGCCCCGGCACCGACCCCGGGCTCCGGCTCCGCTGCCACCGCGGCTCGGGGGGAACCGGGACCGCCCCTGGGAATCGGTACCGGAGCTGGTTCCGGGACAACGGCCGGTCCGGGGCTGACCCGGAGGAAGGCGGGGCTGGAAACACCGCCCGGGCACGGGCACCGGCACCCACAGACAGCCGGCACCGCCCGGCACCGGGCACTCCGACAGCCGGCACCGCCAGACACCGGCACCGCGGGCACCGACACCCCCTCAGCCACCGGCACGGCCGGGCAGGCCCCGCCGAGCCCCGGCGCGGCCCGCCCCGCCCGGGCAGTGCCTCCCCGCTGACCTCGGAGTCCTTCCTGGGCGGCCGGGCCATGTCGCGGCCCCTGGCGGGCGCGGCCGCCCCGCCGCGGCCCCTGTTGTTGTTGTTGCCCGGTGCCGCTGCCGGGCCCGGCCCGGGGCCGCCGCCCGCCTCCATGGCGGCCGCTCCGCCGCCAGCTCTCGCGAGGACTCACCCCCTCCTCTCGCGGGAGCGGCAGCGACAGCCGGGGCAGCGCCGCCGCCATGTTGGGAGTGGCGCCGTGGGGCCCTCGGTGTGTCCGGTGGATGCGATGCGGCTCCGCCGCCGCTCTCGCCGCCCCGCCGAGGCCGCCGCGTCACAGCCTGGCCCTGCCCGCCCCTGCTGGCGGCGGGTGGCGCGGCGACCGGGGTAAACGGGGCTCCGCCCCCGCGCCACCATACTGGGTGTGGCGCGGCACTGGGCGCCGCCATGTTGGGAGCGGCACTTCCGCCCCACGTGCCCACGGCCGCTGGAGGCCGCCATGTTGGGAGGGGCGGGGGTGGCAGATCCCAAATTTACGGGCCTGGAACGAGGGAATTCTGAAATCAAGGAGCTTGGGGGTCTCGGACCCCAAAGAAGGGGCGCCTGGCAGTGCTCAGAGGGGACCCAGATGGTGTCTAAAGCCCAAGTGAAAGTGCCCAGAGGGGGTGAGACCCCAAAATTCCACGGTTCTAAGGATGCTCAGGGAATTCTGTTGGGACCCAAAATCCATCCGGAGGTGGCCAAAGGCAGGTTTCATTCCCTACTCCAACACAGCTCAGGGTCCCCCCCACGACACCAAATAAACCTTCCAGAACCACGAGTGCTCGGCTTTTCCTAATAGTTTAATTAGATTTAATGATTTATTGCTCATCTGCGAGGATTAATATTGCATTCATTAAAAATCATTCATATACAAAATAAACCTCTCCCTGCTGCTGCCCCCAGGCCCCCCCTGCCATGGCTTGTCCAGACACGGAGCCCTTGCGCCCCAAAAGGGTGGGAAAAGGGGGGGCCAGGATTCCCAAATGGGGGAGAATCCTGGCTCCTGGGAAAGGGGGGATGCTCCTGCTCCCAGTCCATCATCACAGACGCCCGTCCCGGCTCGCTGAGCCCTCCCAGTGAGGTTTGGGGGGTGGTGGAGGGGAATGTGATCCCCAAAATCTACAGGGAAGGCGAGGGCGAGTGATCCCCAAAATCTGTGGAGCAACCCAGCAACATTCCAGGAGGAAACCAGGCAGGGTGGGAAGGGGATGAGAGGGGGGTGATCCACCAGCACCTCTCCCACCC